ATCAAATCAGTATGGGCGTACTGTACAGTCAGATTTGTACTAGTGATCTGAATGGCCCACTAACATCTGGAGTGATTTTATTCATTCTGTATGAAGGTCTGAATACAGGGCTTGAAATGTATGGAATCTGATGAAATAAATATCAGTTGGTACTAAAAAAAGTGTGACCTGTTTTGCATTTTAATAAAACACAGTACACAAGCATTAAGCTCAAAGTATTTTGTATGGACAATTGTACCTCGGCACCTGTCAGAAGAGTTAAAAGGCAAAACCTGGAATTTAGTTTTTCTTTTACATGGAGCATGCATTCAATTTCCTGAGTCGATTCACAGTTGAATAAATAAAGACTTTTGCTATTCCTTCTCTTTCTGCTTTCAGAACCACAGCTGACTGAGATGTGACAGGGAGGGCGCTTTACCTATTCCCAGCTGGAAAGTGGCCAACATGGTTAAGATATGTAACACTTCATTTTTTTTCTCCCAGTTATTTCAACCAACGGAACTAATTTTCATCGCCAAACCCAGCATTCACAAGATTTTTAACATACTGCCCAAAACAACACTGAACTCCAGTGGTTTCCATTTTGATAAAAAAATGACGACTTTCCATAAAAAAGTGCAGTATATTTACCATAAAAATGCAGGTTTTTCCATAAAAAAAACCAGTGAGAACCATGACCTTGTATAAGGTGATTGTGGGCTGTGAAAGGAACTCAGTGTATACATATCAGTTTTCACTAATTAAAAATCTACATTAATGAATGAACTAGAAAAATGCCTTGGGTAAGCTTAACCTAAACTTGGTAAAATACTTTCCATTTTTTCTTGGCAATAGTTCAACGTTATCAGACTAGATTATTATCTTTACCTCTATAGATTTGTTCTGAATCATGCAAATAACAGAACTTGATGTGTATATAGACCAAATATAATCTTTCTGGCTGGGCATATATGTGTGCTGCTCCTAATGCAAAGAAAACAATCGATATCCATCAAAACACTTGTTGATTCTCCATATGCTTATTAAGGTGGAAAAAGCCATATGGAGTTAGTACATTTTGCCCCATTCACTGCTTTAAACCCTACAAAAATGATTTCTACAACTGAACTTTTGACTGAACTGACTAAAGTCCAATGTTCGCCAGAAAGAATAAAGTTGCCTTCCTGAGTGTGGCTGGCAAGACATATTTGAGAAATGAACGACAACCCCCTTTGTACTGGAGGTCAAATGCTTTCCCAGTTTCTGTGCCCCAATGAAATGACTCAGGACTCTTAACCTGCCAAGTAGTATCAAGGAATGCTGTTGCCAAGCCACCGTCTCATATTATCACAAAAGTTCAGATTGTTTCTTGATTAGGGCATCTACATGCTTTCCCAGAATAGCTGGATTGTGTCTGACAGAATGATTTCTAGTTCTTTGCCCATTTACTTTAAAATAAAATACCTCTTTACTAGGTTGCACACTGTTAGAAAGCAAGTTACTTGCTTTGTCAGGATAGTATATTATAAGCAAATAGATTTGTATAGCTGACAATTGAGTAGCTGAAAAAAAACACTATTCAGTTAAATCTAAGCTTGGATGTCCTTAGAAAATGTGCAAAGCAAACCCTGAAATCACTGGAATTAGCGCAGATGTGAATTTGAATCGGTGATTATTAAGTTATTATTACTCTTGAGATAATTTGGGTACAATTATAATATTCTAGATTTCATCAATGTTATTACACAGTTAAGAATGTTGATGGAGCAATGTAGACAAAAGTAAGGTTAAGAATTTAATGCTTCCTAATGAAAAAAGAGGAAAAGATAAGAAACAAAATGAAAGTTTTGGTACATATTTGTCGGAATAATTACAAAAGAGCTGAAAACCAGAAATATTTAATTGAATTAATACTAAACACACATCACACCAGCTGAAGTATTATTCATAAATTTGCTCATCTAACCACTGAATTGAACTTACTAGGAATGCTACTGTTAGTGAAATGGTAAAATAATTCAAAGTGAAGCTGTGATAAATTTACCCATAGCAGTAATATACAGTAAAACAAAGATATAATTTCTTATCATTGCTAGAAATGCAGATACTGGTGGTGTTAACTACACGCTGGTCCAAAAGACAATACTAGAACATGTAGCTGTACAAAACAATTATGCAAAATTTAAAAATACTTTCATAATCATTAAGAAGGTGATCATGCATTTGTGAAATATTTTTCTCCAGTATGGAATGAATCTAGATTTGCTGCTGCAGTACTTCAAAACATTGTCATCCACTGAAAAACAGTTTCTGATACCCCCGCTGTCATAATCCTTTCTTCTCATGATAACAAACAGAATTTGAATGTAAATGCAAGTAAATAATCAATAACACAGAATTTCCATTTACTTTTTTTCTTTTTTTTGCTTTTAAAACATGTTTTTTTTACTTTGAAATTCTGTTACACCAATTTAGAACATGCATCTATGTAGATATGGATGTAAGAACAAAGGCAAATTTTTCACAAAGTCAGAAAAGCAGAATAGGATTGACCTCAGTAAGGGATATATTGCTATAAAATGTATTTTGTAACAGTTTACATAAATGAGTAACATTTCCCACCATAGTAAAGAAAGTTGACACCTAGACAAAAATAATCAGTTCCTTCAGTACATACAGTTCATAAAACTGTTATCCTAACTGTAACAACTTTACATGTGATGTGACATTCTTGTGAAACCTCTGCTGAGATTTATTTAATCCTCATTATTATTAACTTAATACTGCTGTACTTGTGTTTTATTATGTTTAGTTTGTTTAGTTGCATTCCCTCAGGATAATGCAACAGCAGATTTTGAGATGAATGGAAGCTGTTAGACACACTGGTACACTGATATAACAGTTCAAAGCAGAATCAAAAGCATTTTTGGTGAATATCTGTAATTAAAAATTGATGATACAACTTTAATAAGTTTTAAAATAACCCAATTCTGCTTACCCCGCTCTGTGTTTGAGCTTTTTATCTAGGATTCCATCTCTGGAAACAAGTTTATTAAATACCAAAATGCCAATCACCATGTTGACCTGTCAAATAGAAAACAAAGAGTTGATCTCTCAGTGCCTGAAAGAAAATATTTTACCCTGTTACTTCAGAAAAGTGCTCTTAGAGGCCTTCAAAATGCCTTCTGTTACCTTTCCGATTATTCCCTCAGAAACTGCGTAACACTGTCCCTGAGCACACCAAAAGTGCGTATTCTCAGATGTGTCACACATACACACACTGCAACAGGCTTATTTTTGAATCTTGAATTATGGCTGGTATCAAGTTACACACATACACGTCTGCTGGCCACAAGCTTGAGTAATAGAGCTTTGAGATTTCCTCAGTTTCAACTGCAATGCTATACCCTATTCCAGGAAAACCACTGCACTTGAGTGGTGCGCACAGGGAAGAGCTAGGAAGGGCACACGATGACCGTAACCATCTTCTTTTTTAAGCATTTAAGGCCCATGTGTGTGTTCCCACTTCTGCGGAACCAGCCTGTGGTTTTCCATATCCTCCTGCACATTAGTCATTCTCTGTGTCATTCACCAAAATGCCAGTCTTGAGCCTTGTTTGACTGCAGTTTCATTTTTTTTGTGGGCCAGATAAATGCCTAGGGTAAGTCTGTTTAGCTCCATTAAAGTAAATGCTCTTATGATCACATACGTGGGTTGAAGACCTAACCCCCCAAAAAATCAAGTGTTTCAGCAGTCAGACTTTGGCATTCCAAGGACTTACTAATGGCATTTAATGGACAACTTAATGACTGTTATTATCTATTTGTACTATTGAACTGAACTCTGTGAACTTGTCTCTGGATGGCCCTGCAAAGAGGTAATACTGTGTTTTGAATCTATTAAATAAATGTTCCTTATTTTTTTAATTAGAAAAAGGTAATCTTTTTTTCCTTTCAAACAGATTTTTCAAGACCTGTGCCAAAATAACTAATTGTTGCCAGTCTGTTCTGCCAACTCCTTTCCAGCTTTTCTTATTATCACTTTATTTTCAGCATTTACATTTTTCAGCTGATATTATAGAATTCTTTCGCTTCGTACACTTAGGCTTAAGTGGCTGCATGGAACAGCTCCTTCCACGGCTACTAGCTAATGGGAGGGCAAACTGCAACTGTGAACTTCAAACATCTCTGAACAAAGCTTGCCGAATACACAGAGAACATACAGTTCCATGTGAAAATTATGACTGGCTTTTTGTAAACATCCTTGGCTCCTCTATCATGATGGGGACTGTGAGTTGTACAAAAGGATCCTGGCTTGACTCCAGGCAATGATGAGACAAACGCTATGGGAGTAGTAAACATCCATTTCAGGGATATCTGTGTAGCTAAAAGGCTGTATCTTTGATGTCTACTAAGACTGATTCCCTTCTACAAGGGAAAATCTGAAATAACTGTGTTGATAGAGCTATCCTAGTATCAAACTGGTGGAGCAGAAAGGAGAATTATGTTCAAAATCTGTAAGGGAAAAACACTAAACAAATTATTGTACAAAATCCATACAGACTCTAGAGCAGATGACTGATAGCCGATGGCACTTGGAGGGTGCAATTCATCTTACCCTGAAGCAGACACCTAAAATACTTCCGATGGTTTGAGCCCTAAAAGTGCATATTTTTCTCCACTGACAATGAAATATGGCTGGGATAACTAGCTTAGATGCAGAAAACTACATTGCAGATGTCTACAGTTGGGCAAAGTGATTCCTACACCTCAATGCATTTCCAGAGATATAGAACATTAATACACAAATGAGTAACATTTCCCAGCTATGACGATTTTTTTCTTTGACTTCAAAAGCAGTAGCCATGGAGAACTTGCCGGCTGCTTCCACTCCTCCTGTTGCTTTTGCTGGCACAGTGATACACTGCCAAGCAGCACTCTATCAAGACTGTCACTGAACTTCACAAGGCAGTGACAATTGCATAGATGCTACTGATGGCAACCCAGTGACGCCTGTAACAAGTTTTCTGTGCCACCAATCAGTACATTGTTCTTTCGAAGTTTAGTGTCTAAACATGGAGAGAAAACTGATATAAAGATGCGATACAATTTAATGAATCGTGCATTTAAAATGCTGAAGGTATATTAAACAATACTGAGCTTGGTATTTACAGCAAAATGTAATGCTACTGTATAGCTAAGCCTTTATAATTTAAATAGCATATTCCATCATTTCATATGAAAATACTGGAAATTATATTAATGTTTACCAAGACAACAGCAGCTGCAGGTCCAACGAAAGCATAAAGTAGCCCTCCTTCAAGAGACAGCCAACAGCTGGAAAGAACATTAGAGAAGAACTAACACAAATTAATGATAAGTATAATGCATTACCAAGAAAGCATCAGTAATTGCTACGGCATGAGATTTTTCTAGTGTGTGTCCAGTCCCACGTGTAGAGATTCATACGCACACAAAAAAGAAGGACTCTGCTGAGATGATGGTATAGAGGGTTGAAAGTTATTTCCATTACCAACTATTAATGTTTCAAAGTTTCAATGATGTGATTTATACGTATGCGGAAATGCCTAAAATGTATTACAAGTATAGGAGAAAATAAATTGGAAAATTGTTATTTAATCTCCTCTAACCATGGATGATGAATCAACTGAACAGGACTTGCCATGTAGGTATCTGAAAACATTCCTAGGTTACAGGTCTATACTTTAAGCTATGAAAGGTAAAGTACCTGTAACGTAGAACTTTGGTAAAACCAGGTTTCTATATATTTTCGCTTATGTCATTCAGTAATTGCCATTAGGACTAGGTCTTACAGACAATATTCCCATTAAAGAAAAGTCGTACATGAACTAAATGTTCTGTGTTCTCTGGAACATTTTGCAAACTATTTAAATGTATATTTTAAAGCATCTGAAAACTGTATTTTCTTGTAAGCTTGCAAAGTTTGTCATATTGCATCAGGGCTTTCATTGCAAACCATCAGATTTCCAAACACAGAGCTCTTACAGAATCAAATTCTAAATATTTGATCACCATGATGTAAAGCTTTCCATAGCTGCAAAAGATCAGGAGCTTCACACCCTGAAGCAAATGCAGCTGTGCTATTTTCCCAGTGATTACATATTCAAAGAACTGCATGTCTTTTTGAATGCATGATCACACCTACCTATAAGACAACCCAAGTATATGCACTCACATAATTTACTTGGATCTTACATCCAGAAACATTCACATCAGAACCATACATATCTTCTTTATTTTCCAGTACTGTTTTTGTACTTTCAGAAACTGAGTAAATTAAATGCAAGCACATCATAATATTAATGGTCTGTTGTGGCTGGAATTCTGACTGCAAAGAACAAAAGTGTTTCTCATTGCAATGAAGCCATGTGAAATCTGACATATGAACACAATTTCATCAGGGAGATAAGTTCTGGAATGATAAATTGATGCAAATAGTTCAGATTTACTTCACTGTTAGAAAGGTAATACATGTCAGGCTATTCTACATCCTACCTCAAAAATCAACTACAACAATAATGTTCAATTTACTTTTATAATGTAAAGACGAATGCTTTCAAAATTTTCTGCAATTTTTCTTGCTATTTTTCCAAAAATTAGATTATTTATAGTGAGAGTCTGAGAACATGGGCTTTTGAGGAGGAATGTATTCACAGTTCATTTCCCTACCAGCACGAGCTTGTAAGTTTAGTGAAGATGGCCACTCTGCATAACTAAGACATGTAATTAAAATGCTCATGTTTATTTGGAGATAGAAATATCAGTTCATAGAAATTGTTGACACATTGTATTTGAAACATAATTTCAGTTACCTGTGCTGAAAAACCGCTCAACATGGGTTTTTTTTTAAATAAAGTGAAAGCAGTTTCTACTAGAAAAATCTTTAAGACTAAGGGAGAATTTTTCCCTCCCTGTACCATGCTCTCAGAAAAAAAGGCCTATTCAAAAGAGTGACTTCCATTTAGAAGCAGAGCTGAAAAAAATGTAGAGGTTGTCTTCTTTTCTTTACAGAATATGAGTTTTCAACAATCTAGATTTTCAACAACATGTGACGTGATTATCGCAACGTATTCAACATCTACCAATTGATGACTCTGAAATGCACTTTTTCCCAGTTGTTTTCTGCTGAAGACTTTCTGAAGACAGATTCTCAGGTGTCTTCTTTTACCATAAGGTAACTGTTGTAAATTTTTTACTATTTTTTCCTTTTTCTCTTTTTTCTTTGCTCTGATAGCTTTTTTTGTATACTTTATAGTAGTTTTTATTTTGTTCTTCTCTTCTGTCTTCTTTCTTCCTGATGCCCACTTAGCAGAAAGCCATATAAGCGGACTTGTATTAAGAGTATCCACTAGAGGTTTTATGGGACTAAGTTACATGGTCGTAAAATTCTGCTGAGTAGTGAAGTATCTGCAGGCTTGTTCCTATGTCCTGTACGTTTTGTGAGTTGTTTGATGCTCTCCATGAGAATAGTTCCTTCTCTTAAGAGAACATGACTATGACAGAATTTTATTTTTTGCTCATATAACAAATTCCTCGAAGTTATCTGCAGTGCTCATTAAAGTATAGCACTGTATGTAAACACGAATAGGTCACGCAGGTTTATTAACAATAACTTGCAGTAGTGGTACTTTAATATCTCTGATCATCTGAAGAGACAACAATACTTATTAGACTCACAGAAATAGTTGGAAATAGCAATCCAGCTTTCAGATACACAAATCTTTTTCAAATATCCTGAAATATCTAAAAGCTTGTCACTGTGGGGTTTTTTTTATTTTTAGGAAATCCATTCAGCTTCTGTATCTCCATCCGTACAACTGTCTGTGCGAAACAATTTTCATAAGTAGTTTTAAATGTACAGTAATATAACTGTCTAATAATTAAGGCTGAAAGAAAAAGATAGAAATCAGAAGCTGTTGATCACAGAATTTGTTCTAGCATGAACAATTCAAGACACGCCCATCAGTCATATAAGGTATGAAACTGAAATCTGCTTTGAAGATCCTTGGGTCTTCTCCATTTCTGTCAATCTCTTCATGTGTGGGGCTATTGAACTGGAATCATTCCTTCATTTTCACTGTCAATATTCTCCATTTGGAAATGCCTTTTTCATAAATAGCATCTTACAAACCGGAATAGTTTGCAACAGGACGCATTTCTGATAGCAGCATGTGTGTAACTGATTGCAGCCAAACAGGCCAAATACAGTGTAAGCAGTTAAAAAACTCACACCAGTACTTTAGGTATGGGAGGAGGAGCAGGACAGGAGCTCTGCTTTCACACAGGCCCACAGCTGTTATATGACACCATTCTTTCTTGGTTTCTAGAGTGGGACAGCACAGCAGTTGGTGACAGAGGAGGAATCTCCATTCCTTGCACTCCCCGTTTTCCTTACGTAATTCTGATGTTAAATGCCAAGAAAATGTATTTTCAAATAAGATGAAAACGCTGTATTGTGGTTCTGTTTGTCCCTTGTACACCTCCTTTTCTGCTTTTGTCCCACGGTACTGTGTCAGCTGATTTTGGGTCCTAGGAGAGGAGCTGTTACATGTACAGAGACCTGCTCTTTTTTCATTTCCAGGTTACCCTTAATGAATGATTTGTTGCTTTGTTTAAATATTTCAGTAAATCCTCTTTTAAAAATGCATTTAGCCCAGGAAGGAAGCAGGAAGCAACACTAACTAAAGCAAGTAGTCACACATGGATGATTTCAGTAGAGTAAGTGCAATGGGACTGATCCTGCAAGGGACAGAGCTACAATCCCGGTGGGGTCTGGACGTTGTAATCTTCTGATTTGTAATTCTCTCAGCCTAAATGGTTCTCCAGTCCTGGTTCAAGGACTAAATAATAAAAGCGCCAGCAAGATGAGCACATATTAGTTAGAAAAAATGTCAGAGGAGCAGGACCTCAATATAACTCACAAAAGATGGCTAAGACCATTCTTTCACTAACAATTGCCAACTATGAGTGCTGGCCCACAGTTACACACTTCAATTAGGTAAGCCCTTCCTCATTAAAAAAATGGAAGACGCGCATTGTGACAGTTCAAAGCTGAAGAACTTGCTGATTAGAGCAGGTATTCAGGAGGAGATATGTTTTTCAATCCTTATCCACCCAGAGCTGGAGTGAGGGCTTGAAGCCTCCTCTTCCTCCATGTGCTAAAATGGTGGGACACACAGGGCAAGGAGGGGGAATCCTGACCTCACTCAGTGACGATGCTAAGGAGAATAATTAAATATTCTTTCAGGCGAGGACTTGATCTAACTCATCCACATCTCTGATGAATTTCCTCATTACCAGGCTACAGAGTCATATTTCTTCTCTTTCTGTCCAGATCCATACTTAGTTTCTTATGCAATGTGAGGAGAGCTCCAAAGAGGACGACCGAAGGAAATGCACTCTTGCATACATAACGTCTCAGTGGTTGGAGTACTCTGCTGGCAGAACGGACTCTCAGCCCACTGAAGAGTGAACTTTCCAGGGTGCTAAATACGCACTGTAACCAGCCAGCTGGCTAAACAGGAACTGTATTAACAAAATGTAAATGAAGTACACAGATTTCTTCCTCACTGCCTCTCAGGTACAGCCCAGTCCGGGATATGGGCTGGATCAGGCACACAGGAGAGAGAGAGTGAACAGGAGAGCTATTTCGAGATTTCTGCGGTGCCTTGGCTCCAAGCAGCCCAGGGACATTGAAGCTGAGGTCCTTGCTTGGTGGGCCAAAACCTGAGTGCGAAAGACACTCTTGTCTGTACAATTTTAGACATGTTTAGAGGTTGGTGAAGGCTAGCCATAACATTTAATGTTCTCTTTGGTAAATGTTAGGTGTCTATAAATGTTAGGTGCTGAGCTCAGTCCAAGACCGGCATATGGTTTTCTCTTTGTTCTTTTGTGGACCACTCAGTGACTCTTAGGGCAGTTCCAAGTGTGAATGAATACCTGTAGAGCCTTTAGACTATGCTATGTAATTCCTAATGTGTATGACAGTCTTGTTAATTAAAAACATAATTTATCATTTCAGATTGACTTACTAATGAGCTGTTCCATATCCTTTTGTCTTGGTAAAGCCTATGGATATTGCAACCACTAATGCTGGTAAACCTGAAAAAAACCAGAACAGTAATAAACATTAGATGCTGAGCAAAATATTGCTGTTCTGCCTGGACAAAAATTGACAGGGCAAGCTAATGTAAAATGGATAATTTTACATGGAATGAATCATTTAATGAAGCACGGTGCTATTGCAGGACTTGTTTTTCTGAAGCACTGGCAGGGAGGAGGACACTGTTTTCTGCCCACGGTGCACCACATTGATGTAGCTAAATTACTGGTACATTTGACAGGTCTTAAAGTTAAATAGGAAGAGGCTTCATAAATATTCAGTGCACGTTTTTTCTTGTTTTATTCTGATTTCCTGATATTACACTACTTTGCTGAAAATCTAAAATTTTGTTAAAATATATTTATAAAAGAATGCTGCAATATACACCAGCATAGCCTGAGATGAAGTGGAAAGGCTCCTATCATCATAGTTTTTCTTTTAGCAATGTGCTGTCTACTATCATTCGGGTTTACTGAGGGAAATGATTATGTTCTTGACATTGTCACTGCATTAAATGTTTCATTCCCATGATTCTGAGGAAATGAATTTTATGAACTTACCCCATCCAAGGCACAGGAAACGTTTCCTTATGAGCCGTGTCCTAATTTTTCCAGTAACAGCCATGTATGACTGCCACGCTTCTGTCAAAACCCAACAGAATGAAGCTAAGAAGAAGAAGTGTAAAAATGCAGTGGTTGTGGTGCAGATGCCCTGCAGGGAGCAAAGAGAAGCTCATGCTGAATACTTAGGGACACTCATTTCTCTTTTCAATTCAAAGACTTGTCATACTCTATCATCTTGACCTTTATCCTTAGCATCAACTCCCCCTTTATGATGTGACGGCCACAAAGAGAGAGTGAAAAAAAGAGAGATGTTGATGGGGATTAGCCAGAAGAGGTTTTGACTATTTTCCCAAACACTGAGTGTGCTGAGCAGGGACAAAGAACACAAAATAAATAATGCCACCAGATTTTTCTCTATACATTGACTTTGACCAGAAATCGTCATAAAGACATTGTGGCAAGCAAGTTACAGAGCTACTGATTACAAAATCTCACAGAGCTGAATAAAGAAAATGTGGGGATACAAATGCTTCTAATTGCCAGTTATATTTTCTTTCCCTCCATGCAGAAAGATCCTGACTGTAAATCTGAATTTTAAGAAACAGATTAAGTTTGATTTGTTTGATTCTTTATTTAAATCTTCTAGAACATCAATCTATTGGAATACACTGCCTGAGATCTTTTTAGTCAGATTTAAGTATCATAACCTTAATAATTACCCTGGATATTGTTTTTATGGGTGTCAGTCATTTGTCATATGAGAAGTATTTTGGGCACATGCAATCGGCTTTCTTTTGTCACTGTAGCCCTTAATTAAACTTGACATTGTAGCTTATATAAATGAGCTTCGTGGCATAAATGATGATCTACCATCCACTGTGTTGCTTAAAATGCCAGTTGCAGGCTATAAAATGCAGTGTGCATTGTACTCCAGAACCAAAACCACACCACTAATGTTGACAATATCCGTATCACAATTCATCCTTATCACAATTTGAAGTGTCAAAATTATACCAAGGTTAAAATAAAAAATATTTCACACACCCTATATTAGCAATGCAAGATTGTAGTTGAGAAACGTAGGTATTATTTTTATGAATATTTTTTATGCAGCATACACATCTAAAAGCTATCTTACACTCATGTCACAAAAGGCCAGTGAATTTTTTTACTAAAATCCAAGTTCAGCAAACTATTTAGGGAGAAAATCTGCAAGTTACTAATTATAAATAGATGCTTGCATATGTTGTCGAATCAAGGCTGGTAGCTACAAAACTTTGGGAAGGATAAGACATTTATGACACTACTTGTGCTTTTTAGTTAATTTTATATTCCTAATTACTTTCAGGTATTTTTATTTTTGATTTTTTTATTGTGTGTTAATTTTCCTAGATTCTTCTCTGAATCCGTTGTGTCAGTTCAATAGTTATCTCAGTTACATAGCTGATAGCTGATATCAGCTGACATTAGCATTAGCCGATATCAACCTCCGAACTTTCGAAAAGTTATACACTTAAAGAGACAAATCTTAATGATTTCCTGATATAAATTTACTGCTGCGACAAGCACCTTGCTTTCTAATCCTGGATCAAATTGTCTGTTTAAATCTGGGGGAAATATTTTTAAAAAGAAAGAAATGTAAACTGGAAAAAAACCAGAGGATCCTTAAAATTCGCAGTCATTCCATCCTAGATTTTGGCATTAATTCTTATGTTTAGATGTCCCTAAAGTATATGGATTCATAAAATCTATCCTGTTAAAGCCTCACTGATGGCAGTATTACCTGTATATGAAAAATAAATACTTATCCAAAATGAAAGCTATGCAGTGAAGCACACAATAAATATAATAGAAAATACGGAAATGTCCTTCTTCTACTAGCTGGCTCATATGTTATGAATTCCCACTATGCAACTTTAATTTGCTTTCCTACCAATGTTTTTGTAAAAACTAGCATGTTCTGTTGGAATGAGAATATGACAATAAAATGACTTTTGAGGAATAGTACAGAATCTTTTAGGCAGAAACTGCTTAGGCAAAACACAGTATTGCCCTGAAAAAAATGTGAATATACTATTTCCCTTATAAATAATGTGAATAGAAGCAAATTCTGATCTTTTTGGTCAAAACATTTCTAACTCTTATGGCTGAATATAGGCTGTAGGATTTAGTTCATAATTTATCCCATATATTGAAAGAAAGATAGTTGATGATAATCAGACGCAAATGTGGACATGGCTATTGTGGAAGAAAGAACTGTGATGGAAATGTTAATGATCATGTTGATCACAAAATGAGAAGACAGAAGCAAGTTTTATCAGCAGCGATCTGTGTTCTGGCTGGAATATATGACTGCTGATTATAACTAACTCTTCTGAATGGCAGACAGGGGTCTTTAATAAACACTGATGGTAAGTCTGTGTCACAGATATAACTGCGTACTTGCATCACATATCATCAGAAAGCTGCAAATCAGCCTCAAAACATCATCTAACAACCTCTGCGGGATTGTGATGACAGAATCATGTGCAGGCAGTGCCTGAAGTGAACTCAGTCTCCCTCCTCCCTCCTCCCCCAGGCAGAGAAGCAGTCCTGGCAAATGAAACTCCCCTCTCCCAGGTGTAGCCATGGGCTCAGCACAGTTGAACAATACCCCCTTGGAAATCTGGCTTTTATGTACTTCTGTATTCTTCCCTTTGATAAGCAAATAAACAAACAATGCTGTGCTGTCTGGGAAAGTGCTATATCTGGGAAGTCTGTTTCCAAATAGGAACAAAAATTCATTTTCACCAAAAGTTGTTACTAAATGGGGCGTTGTGTATCTTTTGCCAGGGAGCCATAATTCTAGCAAGTACTGTATTAGTGCTTTTTTCTTTCTCACCAGGTCATGGACTACTCCCAATGTGTCCTTCTCCCTCTCCTCTTCTCCCCTGCCGAGGGATCACAACCTCCCCTCACTTTGCTACACATGCAGCAGCATCACTAAAACCTTGTGGCCCATCACTCACAGAAAGCCACAGTGTGTCAGCTTGTCTGCACTGAGAGATAGCGGTACACATCTTCCCCACTGCTTTAGGAGGAGGTACTTCTTATTTGTTTCTGATTCTAGTTTATTAAAACTCGCTGAATAAATTACCTACACTGAGCACCTGCCAACTTGTAACAAAATGAATCTTAGGAGCCTAATTTATTCACTATTTCTTCAAGCTTCTGAAATTAAGTCATCTCTGTTACTGTAACCTCCTCTTCCTCTCATTGCTGCTGTTCTCAGCTCCCCATATTTAATTCTAATTACAGGTGGGGGGAAGGGAGCTTATCTGTCCTCAGAATGCACAATTTCATGAGCTTTAATTGAGCCTCAAGTGTTTAGCTACCTTGAATATCTAAGTAAGACCATTCATCCCCTTTTAATAAGCAATATATTATTGAAAGCAAGAGCTCACATCAGGTATCAAATTATTTCCTTCTTTCATTCTTGTAAAACACCCACTTTGAATGAGGGTACTGAAGCACAGCTGAGAAATGTGAAACACTATGAAATTCAAAACTAATTATTCTAGTGATTAATATTTTTATGTAATAATGATGCATAATATAAAGAATATTTCTCCATTTTTATGACCTACAAAAAGTAGGTCATAAATGCAACCTAAAAATAATAATTTATCTTTATTTTTGGAACATCTGGTTGTAGATTTTTTAAATTGAACAATGGGTGTTTTTTAATAGCAATATGAACGTATCTTCCACACAGCAGGTTAAGTAAGAACACTTGATTTATCCTCTTGCCCTGAAACAGGTTTTTTTTCCTTCAACAGACTAGTTGCCTGTCTCTGGGTTCTGATAAATAGTATAAGAATCAAAGCTACTGGAAAATGACCATGAAAAATGAAATCTGTGTTGGTGATGGTAAAATGAATAGGACTGAAATCCACTCAGCTGTATTTGTCATTGTCTTGTGCTTAGCTGCTGGCTTGGGTTAAACCACGAGAGTCCTGAAGTAGAAATGAAAACTAGAAGAAAATCATTTAAATAATACAATTTCTTCGAGATTAAAAAAAAATCTTGCCCTTGATTTAGCTCTGAAGAGATAATCCTAAAGAGTTAAATTAAATGGGTGCTAATTTTATTCTTCTGAAGTTCTGACCATGCACTGAATACACGAACAAAAAGCACAATACAGAATAAATGAAAAAAAGAACAACCAAAACAAAGAGAGTGCAATGGACATAGCAAAGCGCAGAAATACAATTCTACGTCAAACCTGTTTTTTAAATTGTTTTTTGTGACTCTCTAGTCCACAACTATAAAACAGTTTATCTTTTTCTTATTTAAATTAAAAATATAAATTAATAAAGGAAAATACTGCTTATTATTATTTATTTGATTTTTTATTAGTATTGATTTTTAAAGTGATTTAAAAAATACAGTACCTTTGTCTCAGGAATGGCAGGCACTGTCAGAGCACAGGGATACAGTATACTGTATATAGATAGATATAGATAACAGATAGAGAGAGATACAGAGAGAGAGAGACAGATAGATAGATAGATAATATTGAATTCTAGATAACATTCTGATTTCTAGAGTAAACTGCCATAAAATAGTAGATGGACTTTCAGAGGCTGTGGGACAAAGAAGTAAGGGTTTGCATCTCAGGAGTATTTTTCTGGAAGGGGGATGCATTTTCAATGACCAAAAAATATGACAAAGAAGGCTGTGTCTTCAGTTGTAAACATTTCTGAAACTCTTAGTATCTTAACTGCCTGAGAAATCATAGCTGTAGACTTTCAAGTTTCTCTTCCAGGATCATGAATATTACTGACACCATAAAGCTTTGAGATTACCATTTCATTTAACAAATTCCACATTCTTCTCTTTTGCCAGGCTCAAGTACTGCTAACACTACTTGTTCAAGCACCGGTTTCAGACAGTCTGATACCCATACTGAAAACCGCACTATGGTGGAATGAATTGTTCTAAAATAATGTTATCCATATTTTAAATCAACAGCTATGAAACTTTAATTAGCTTAAAGACAAACTTTTAGATCTTCTAAAAATCTTCTCCAGTGTCCCTAAAAGTTGAAGGCTCAAGTGGTTTAACTTCATTACACTGTATTCTGATATCTGACATGATAACCCAAAA